ATGTAAGGATTTCTCAGGCCAGCCTTGCTATATGGAGCAGAAAGCTGGGCCACCAGAGAGCAGGAATGATAATGAGCTTGTCTGTACTCGGACATCAGCAAATGGGGACACCAGATCAGGGCACAAAAGCAGCATCAGGGAAGCCCCAGCAAAATTTCAGTGCTTTGGACCTACTGTGAGGGTGGCAGGAATCAGAGGAATGGAAAGGTTTTGCTTTCTGCCCCTCCCTGCCTATCTACAGGAGTATCAGCTTTCTCTTTTCCATGTTAGCAAAGCCCTTTCCTGTAGAAGCCAGTGATGGGAATTCTTATACCATGTCGTTAATTGCTTCTGCAACATGCAGGACGATGCGAATTTTACAAGGAATGATGCCTTCCAGCCTGGATTCCAGAGCTGTTTCTCTTTTCCTGTTGGTATCTTAACCTTTACATCATCTAAAAAGAACAGGTTTTGTTTTTTATGTGCCCAGAGGCTGCCCGCAAAAGTTGGCAAGGGCAGTTGGTGAAGTCTGCACAAGGTCAGCTGGGATGTCTAATAATTGTCTTACCACTTTACCTGTTATGGAACAATAATGAGAGTTTTTTCATTATTTTCGGGTGAGTGAACCTGGCAGATGCTGACAGGCAGCAGATGTGTAAAGTTCGAGGTGATTTGTAAGGGACCGGTTCATCTGACGCATGGTAATTGCATTGTGGGACATTGTCACTCAGCGTCGTGTCCTGCACCAGCGCAGCGAGGTAAAGGTCAGTTCAAAGAGCTGGTATAGCATGAGGGGCAGCCCAGGGCTGGCATGAAAAGCCCCATCTCCATCTCTACCCTATACCTGTGCTCACAGCATGCCCGGAGTCGGGTGGGTGCCCTGGTTCATAGAATCATGGAATGGTTTGGGCTGGAAAGGACCTCAGGATCATCCAGTTCCAGCCCCCTGACAAGGGCAGGGACACCTCACCCTAGACCATGGCACCCAAGGCTCTGTCCAACCTGGCCTTGAGCACTGCCAGGGATGGAGCATTTACTCTGGGCACGCTGCGGCAGACCCTCAGCACCCTCACAGGGAAGAACTTCTTCCTTATATCTAACTTGAACTTGCCCTGTTTCAGTTTGAATCCATCACCCCTTGTCCTATAGATACAGTCCCTGATGAAGAGTCCCGCTCCAGCATCCTTGAAAGTTTTAGATTTAGGGATTGTGAGTGGTTGTTTTGGTCTACAGTGGGCTTAAACCCCTCCTCTGGGAAGGCTTAGGGAAAGTCTCCTTACCCACGTGTTGATTACATTGGTGTTCGTCTGTCTGCTTAGAATTTGGGGCTTGGAGGTTTCTTTTGTGGCTTGTTCATAGAATCATAGAATCCCAGACTGGTTTGGGTTGAAAGGGACCTTAAAGCTCATCCAGTTCCAACCCCTGCCACAGGCAGGGACATCTCACACTAGAGGAGGTTGCTCCAAGCCCTGTCCAACCTAGCACTAGGAGTGGTATGAGCAGTCCTGCTGGAAAAAGAGTGGGTTTGTCTGATGGTGACCCTGTTGATGGCCCTAAATGGGGAGCAAGAGGTGTCTTCAAGATGTCCACATCAGGTCCACACAGGGTCCCTGCACACAGAACACGGTGCTGCCTGTCCATGTGCTCAGCTTGCTCTCTAATCAGGATTGATTTCTGGTGCTTCTGGAGGTTCAGTGGGATCTTTATCAGGCTGTGATGTGTGGAAGCCCTGATTGACTGGGTTTCCTGGGTGTGCCTGTGCTTCTGTAATACACATGCTGATAAACCTCTAATACCCTGGAGATCTTGATAAAATGTGTGTTGTGTATTACATCTGCTGTTGCCTCTTTCTTCTGTACTTGCTGGTATCTAATCCCCTGCTCTTTATCTTACAGGACATCATACTATAGATTTTGTCCTTTATTATTCTCCTAAAAGCCCCGCACTTACCAACACTAGAAATTGCAGTAGCTCTGCACGTGCTTCTTGAAGTATGAACCCTGGGTTAGCTCAGTTGTTCAAAGTTTCCCATTAAGCTGGCCAGCTTAGGAGCAGTGTCCCCCATGGAGTATAAACTCTCTGTACAAAGCATCTTGACTCTGTTGGGCAGAGACCTTCAAGCCATCTTTTAGTTTCTCATAGAATCCCAGCCTGGTTTGTGTTGGAAGGGACCTTAAAGCTCATCCAGCTCCAACCCCTGCCACGGGCAGGGATACCTTCCACTAGAGCAGCTTGCTCCAAGCCCCTGTGTCCAACCTGGCCTTGAACACTGCCAGGGATGGGGCAGCCACAGCTTCTCTGGGCACCCTGTGCCAGCGCCTCAGCACCCTCACAGGGAAGAGCTTCTGCCTAAGAGCTCATCTCAGTCTCCCCTCTGGCAGGTTCAAGCCATTCCCCTTGGCCTGTCCCTACATCCCTTGTCCCAAGCCCCTCTCCAGGTTTCCTGCAGCCCCTTCAGGCACTGGAGCTGCTCTGAGGTCTCCCCTTCAGGAGCCTTCTCTTGTCCAGGCTGCCCCAGCCCAGCTCTCTCAGCCTGGCTCCAGAGCAGAGCTGTTCCAGCCCTTGCAGCATCTCCGTGGCCTCCTCTGGCCTCGCTCCAACAGCTCCACGTCCCTCTTGTGCTGCTGCCCCAGAGCAGGATCAGGACTGCAGGGGGCGAATCCCCAGAGCGCAGCAGAGGGGCAGGATCCCCTCCCTTGACCTGCTGGTGCAAAGCCTGACCATGCAAACTGAGCGTGAGTTCTGCTATAAACACAAGAGGAAATAGTATTCCCCCTATGTAGCATTGTTAAAAGCTCTCCCCAGTATTTAATCTCTTACTTAATAGTGGGTTGCTGATGTAGGTAGAGATGCAGGCTCTGCTCATGGTCTCCATGCTGAGCATTAAGGGATAGGTGTGTTCCAGTGTGTGTGTAATTGTGCATGTACCAGTCAGTGTGACTGTACTTTGGCAGAGAACTGGCAGATACTAGACATATAACTTTGAAGGAAAAGGTGGCTTTTCAATGCATCATTTTTTGGTAGAAATAAATCTTGTCTGGAGTTCCTGATGGTTTTTCCTTTGTTTAGTGTTCCAGGATATCTTGGAGACTCCTTTCCATGTTCCACCATAGGTCTCCCATTTGCTGACCAACTTGGCTTAAGTCTTTGTAGACCTTACCTTATCCTAAGCATTTACTGAGCTCATTTGTTGAGGGAGTAATTACAGGTGGCTGCAGAGGCACGAAACAGTCCAGGATGTGTCCAGACTGCTTCTGCTTTCCAAAGTGTAACTGGTTTTCATCTGAATACTGAGAAGGGATTTAAATCTGTGGTATAGGAAAACTGAGTCTTTGCTTTCACCAGGCTGACCGGGGAGGGTGTTTTGGCAAGGCAGTGGTTAGTGCTCTTCCTGGATTCATTCCACTGACCTTTAGGGAGTGAAGGAGTAGCTTCTCATTCAACAAATGTCTGCTTCAGAGCAGTTGTGCATCATGGGGTTTTTCTCCTAAGAGTATGCAGATAGGCTTTGTATTTAGAATAATACTTCTTTAACCATGCACACTCTGTGATAGTTTGTTACGTATCCAAATTATGCTGCTTTGCTTTCTAACTGCAGCCGAAACTGTGTTTGGAATACAGATGTGGAATACTGTCATCCCGCTGTCGCACCGATTGCTCATTGTTCTGAGAAGGTCACATCATAATTCATTAACAGTAATTACTCCCTGCGTACCCCCTGCACTCCTTCACTCAATTGCTTCATTAACTTGTGAGTGAATCTCACATTCACTGCTCCGATCGATGAAGATACATTTATAATGTACAAGTGGATGCTATTAGTTACAATATATTAACTGCCTAATTTAAAAGAGAAAAGCTATCTTTATGAAGGGCAATTAACCACTAAGTGTAATTGATAATTCACATACCTCTGATTAGGAAAGACAAATAATAAGAAAGAAATGGATCACCAGTGTTATTGGAGAAGACACTGGCACGTGGTTGTAGCAAGCAGAAGGGGCTTTCTGGGTCAGGACTGGAGTTCTAAGGATCCTTTGATGGAGAGCTCATCATTGGATGCATTACCTCGAGGTGGGTTTGGTGTGTGCATCAAGCAGCTGGGGTCATCTTCCTGAGCAAAGGAGCACAGCGTGTTTTGGTGTCTTGAGAAGCAGTGCAGGGGCTTTCCTAATAGAAAAGTCCTTTTTCATCCTAACACGAAGAAAAGTAATATTTTAACGAGAATTTGTAAGCCTAGCCCCAAACTTACCAAGGTAACTGCACCTGTACGAGCTCAGGTCCTCAAAGATAACTCTCTACAAATTCACACTGAAACTGACCAACTTGAGGCTTTTTAATATATTTGAGGAGCTGAGTGATGCTCCCTTTGGCAAATATCTATATATTATAAACTGTGGTACATTTTCAGTGCTTCGGATTGTCCATGGCCACTTTGAAATACAATGGTTCTCCAAACAGCTGACCACTCATCCTTGGAGAAGAGGCCTTTTTTGTGACATCCTCACTAGATCACCACAGTTTGGGGCAGGAAACGAAGAGGGAGGACTTGGATGGGGTTGCAGAGTACTGATCCACAGGAACCTTAACCTCACTTTGGCTACTTAGGGCCATGTTTTCTTCCTTTGAGAAGCCATTTACCAGTAAACATTCATTAATGAATCACTTAGAGGTACCATATTTTTCAGGGTTACCCACCAAGTAACAGCAAAGGTGTTTTATGAGAGATTAAATGGTAATTGTAACTGAAGCCACCCCAGTGTTGACGTCTTTTTGACAAGGGCAATGCAGTATCAGGACAAGGAGGAATGGCTTTAACCTGCCAGATGGGAGACTGAGATGAGCTCTTAGGCAGAAGTTCTCTGAGCATTTTAGGTGTGTCCTGGTCACAGTAAGAGATGCTGCTCCTGTTCTGGAATATCATCACTGCATGTTCGTTGTAATTACCCAAGTTAGGCGTGGGGCAGCAGAACTGATGCTCTGTGTGTAGTTAACCCTTCTCTGCTCTCTTTACTCAACAGGATCAAAGCATCTGGTCTGAAGCTTCGGTTCTGCACTAATGAAACCCAAGCGACCCGGGAGAAGTTTGTGAAGAAGCTCCAGGGCCTGGGCTTTGACATCTCTGTGGCTGAAGTCACTGCCCCAGCACCAGCAGCCTGCCGCATCTTGAAGGAGCGTGGCTTAAGGCCACACTTGCTTGTGCACAATGGTGGGGCAACGCTGCGGCAGATGCTGGGACATGGAGGGGGACAGCTCAGGGAGATGTGGGTCTTTGCGATAGAGCAGTGAGTTCCCATAGCTCGTGTGGGGAAGAGCTCCCAGATGCTGTTTTCCTACAGAGAAAAGCTTCTTCCTTAGTCATGAGAATGTGGGATATAACTTAGTGGTCTGGTCTGAGTGGGTTCTCCATTGTGGCAGTGATAGAGTTGTGTTGGGAGGCAGCAAGTGCTCAGAGGAGTCTGCTGCTTAACCACAGTGACTATGAGATAGGTGAGGTCTTTGTTACCATGACAGAGGTTTTAAGTTTAAAGTGTTTCCTGCTATGGAGTGTGGGTATGGAGAAAAGGGATGAATCCTGCTCTCACTGGTACACATTTTCATTTGGGTACCCATGTTTGCCTTGGGTCTGCTGAGACATGGGTGGCAGGAGCTAAAGTAAGGGTAGGAAATGGTTTATTTTGCTCTTTGTCATAGGACAGATGAGTAGCAGGAACCAGTGGAATAGAGGGGTCTGAAGAACACTTGATTAAGACTTGGATTTACTTAATCTTTTTAAAGCATTATGTCATGGATGAAGTGAAACACAAATCTGGGGTGAAACAGTCAGTTCCAATGGGATCTGAAGTAGGGATTTGTGGTTTACTTTTTGCGTCCTTTAGATCTTGTTCCTGAATTTGCTGAGCTTGATAAAGCAAACCCAAACTGTGTGGTTATTGGAGATGCAGCAGAGAACTTCACCTATGCAAACCTTAATGAAGCTTTCAGAGTTCTCATTGGGATGGAGAAGCCTGTTTTGATCTCCCTTGGAAGAGGGTGAGTTAAGCATCATTTCTTCCTCAAGTCTCTACAGCTTTTAATTCCCCCCCCGGTGTCTTTGTAGTTAATGGAGGCCAGATAATTGTGTGGGCATTCACAGTACCGACTTCTAAGCATTTATCTATGTGTCTGGACTGGGAGGCTGATCTGCTCAGGTATCTGTCACTGAACAGTCCCTGGTGGGTAATGCAGTCAATTTACCTGTCCCAAGTCACTTACTTGTGGTCTTTCTAGGGGTGTAAGGGAAAACTGAAGTGATCACAGTGGAATAGGTCTCTAGAAGGTGGTATGGATGCTTGACATGAGCCACAGTTCAGCCCTGTGCTGATGCTTCCTGGGCACTGGAAGGTACTGAACTTGCCATGCCAGATCCTCCAGTTGACTTTGAAGATACTCATCAGTAGGGTCTGTGCTGCTACAGCACTGGGTGAGCATCCCTTGAGTATCAGCTCTCAGTGGTCTTCTTTCTGTAGACAGTGCGGAGGAAGCACTTGTGTGGATGTGTTTCATTGGCTTCTCGAGGGTGAGGGATATAGGTGTTCTAAGGAGGAATCATAGCAGCTTTTAGAGAAACTGGAGATGCTCTGCTGTATGAGCACAGCAAATGGCAGCCTCCAGCCCTTTAAGGTGAGTGTTTAAGAGTGAGCTAGACCTGGCTGAAACAATCCACATGTTTGCAGGTGGAAGTGGGGGTGTTAAATAGAGTCATAGATGCTAGGTTGGAAGGGACCTCAAAGATCATCTGCTCCAACATTTAAATAGCTGTAGTTTGTAAGCCACCAAGAAAAGGACTTTTCTTGCTTTAAGAGCAAGTCTAAGAGCATCTTAAAATACCCCATAGAAATTGTGCAGAGTTTGGATTTTGATGTGCACAGCCCCCAAGTGAATGAGGTCAGTAGGATTACAGGCACTGCTTATCTTGTCTTTGCCCCTGCAAGATCTCAGAATGAGAACTGTTGTCTGAACTGCTGCCTGTAGCCATGTGTTCCTGTCTGAACTGAAAATAAATGAGCTTGACAGTGACAGAAACCCAAAGCTGACAAGAAAATCCAACAAGCCATGCTTGGATAAAGTGCTGTTGATGTAGATTTGGGATGCAGTTTAATCTTCCAGCATCCGGAAGTTACTAATTGTGAGGAGGAGCAGGTGGTCCAAAATTGCTCTATTTCAGCCAACAGCCAGGTTTGTTCTTCCAGGCTCAAATCCTGCCCATGTTTGTAGTGGTTGAGATGTGATACTGGTTGTGGCTAACAGCCTGTGTGACCTAAATGATGTCTTGCTCTTTGAGTGGTGCTTAAAGGTGTTACCTCTGAAAGCTGGTGTTAACATCTCTGCAGGTTGATTCATATGTATGAACATGCCAAGACGTACGGGAGCACTTTCATGCTGGTGGCTTGAGAATTGCTGTATGTGAGGAACAAGAAGCCAGGAGAGTTTTTATTTGCTAATATAGAAACCCTACCAATGCGTGAAAGCAGCTGCAATGCACAAACTCCATCCAAACTATGTTGGAGATGGGGATGGATGTTCCTCTGGCCATGAGTAAGGTGTGGTGGCCATGAAGACCTCGAGAGAGCCCAAGGATATGCAAGAGAAATGGCTGGGCTGGTGGGTATAGCAAAGACTGTGTTTTGACGTGACAGATCAACTGCTTTGACAGTTTGAGTATCAAAAGGCATGCTTAGTTACTCTCTGAACATTAAAGGCACATTTTGAGCTTCTGCTTCCACATGCAGGGAAAATCCAGTCAGGGAATTTGAATGTTCTCCTAAAAACAACTCAGTTTTCTGAGACTTTAACAGGAGGTTAGCAGTGCCAGCAGTGGATAATGACAAATCCCAACGGCTTTGAAGGAGTTCTTCTTACCTGTTGTGCAATGTAGGGGCTTAAAACCACTGTACATGATTAGTTTGAGGAAACTGGAGTGACAGCTTGGTTTCAGTGCTTCAATAGACTGCAACGGGTGTGAAACCCCTTCTTGGTTTGTGGGTTATTGATCTGGATGGGTAGAACTTCCCAGAGAGAAGGAGTGCGGCCTTCCTTGATGCTCATGCTCTGATCCTACAACATGGGTGAAAAATCCTTCCTGTTTCTCAGTTAGGAGAATGAGGAAAAGATGTTGAGCCAACAGCAGAATGGTTAATGTATGTCAGATAACCAAGGTTTGTGTTATGAAACAAATCTTTAGGATTTGCAATGTGTTCAGTGCAAAATTGCTTTTGTACCCTGTGCATGTAACAGTATATCTTTATTTGGTCATCTGTTGATGTAGACGGCTCTAAAAGAAGTCCCTGTTACTTGTTTGAAATGTTAGTTTTCATTTCCAAACACAGATTTGTGGATATTCTGAGCTCAGTTTTTGCCATGAGCATTTATTTTATTTAAATATTGATCATTTTATTTAGATATTGATCATTTAGGTAATGTGAACATGAGTTCTGCATGGGTTACCCCAGTTAGGGAAGTTCTCTGACTCGAAGAAGGGCGATTATAACTTGGGTGAACGGAAGTCTCATTGATGCAAAGGGCCATATAGCAAAACCCGGCCATATAGCAAAACCCAGCCACAAACCAGCTTCATTTTTAAAGGGCAGAACCAGTGTAATTGGGTGGACCTTAACAAGGTGCCTTCTTTGGGCAAATCCATTCATTTTGGTTCAAGTCTGAGTTCATTCCATAGAAAACAAAAGTGTCACAGCCACTGAAGCAGAATGCCCTCCTCCTGAAAACGGGGTGATTTACATTTAGCATCTGTTTTGGGCTGAGAGTGGGAATTGGCTTTGTAATTCCTTCTGTCATGGCACTGTCAGAAAATTAAGCTGTTTACGCTGGACTGTAGAAGGTTAATGGCTGTTCTAGCAAAGGTCAAGTGGCCGTTTGAAAGGGAGGCAGTGCTGAATAATCGGAAATGGCAGAAAGATAAGGCATCAAATCTTATCTGACTGCTCGTCCTGCCTGTTTCCCTGTCATATAGAAACCTGTCTTTACTCTGATCAGGAAAGCTTGGAATACCTGCCTTAATGTGAGTTGCTGCTCCAGAAAAGCACTATGAAGATACTAATTTTATGAGCTCTGTGGCAATAGGAATGTTTTTAGGAGGGACAAATTTAACTTGGAGGGCTTTCTTAGTCCCTAGCTTTCCTCTTGTGGAAGACTGGTGACAAGCAATGATGGTCAACTCTTTGGAATGAAAGAATGAATCCTGGAATGGTTTGGTTTAGAGGGGAACTTAAAGCTCATCCAGTCCCAACCCCTGCCATGTGCAGGGACACCTTCCACTAGAGGAGCTTGCTCCAAGCCCCTGTGTCCAACCTGGCCTTGAACACTGCCAGGGATGGGGCAGCCACAGCTTCTCTGGGCACCCTGTGCCAGTGCCTCAGCACCCTCATAGTAAAGATTTCTTTCCTGATATCCAATCTAAATTTGGGGTTCTCTTCCAGATATACTGAAAAAGATGCTGCAGCTGCTGGTTGGTGCCAGCTATCATCTTGTATATGCCAAGGGGTCTCTGTTGCTGATTAAAGGAAGAGCAACGCAACTGCTGTCCTCTGGAAGCAGCTAGTCCCTGTGCAATAAAATACAGGCCAAGTTCAGCCTTCATTTAAGGTAGTTGAAATCCTTGATATGACTTAGTTGAAATCCCTTTGAACCAGTGGAGTCGTGTCCCGGGGGCCAGATGGGCATCTGGTCTGAGATCTTTTCCCCAAGCATTGCACATTACTGAGCCTGTCCTTTAACTTAATTCCTGGTGTTAAATTAAGGCTCCAGAGTTTCTGATTACTTGACTTTTTGTTGCAGCCATATGGACATCTATACAGGCACAGAAATCATAAAACCTTTTCATTTCATTGGAACTTTATCACTCTCATTTCCAGACGCTACTATAAAGAAACCGATGGTCTGAAACTTGATGTTGGAGCATATATGAAGGCATTAGAGGTATTTTATAGCTTGAATTATGCTTACTTGCACACCTTGTTAAAAGAGTAACTGGGATAAATATGGGTCATCTTCTGTAATTACTCACCTTGGTGGAGGAAAGGTTCCACAGATTGAAACTCATTTGCTGCATTTGAAAGACTGGTGGATTCTAAAGGTGGATTCATTTGTTCTCTGGCTTTGTCCAGGGGTTTTTACATTTTACTTTCAAATGTGAACGTTTACCATGTGGTGGTACCTTTATATGAAGTGAGGCCCTTGAAGGAAGGAGTCAGGAAAGAAAAGCATGGAATATAGTCTGTAAGGTACACTGAAGGTCCGTTTTATGTTTGATGTAGCGTTAACACAGCCTTTGCCCTTAACAGTTGAGAGCAAAAGGCCCTGATTCAGCAAGATACTTAAGGGCAAACCTGGTTTTAAGCCTGATTAAGTCTGTGCAGAAGTGGGACCCAATGGCTAAGCCAGTCTCAGAGAAGGAGAGAGTCGTTACTCTCCCTTTTATAGGCTTGCAGAGAGATGTAAAATAATACATAGCGAATGCAGAGAACAAAGCAGAGTAGGGTACTGGACAAGCACAGAGGATAGTGGTGATAATGTATGCTTGCAGCACATTCATTTGTACCTCTGAGTTTTGGAGGTTTTGCCTCCCAGATAAGTTTAGGTTTATAATGGTCTAGGGACAAGCTAGAAATGCCTTTTCCAGCCTAGTACTGATGCTTCTTTGCAGGAAAATAACCTCAAATCTGGCTGGTCACTTGAATCATTAATAATAGGCTGGGTGGTTGAAGAAACCCTCTACAATCTTTTAAGGCCCTCCAGCATTTTTGATCATTTCATATGAAGGATATTTGCTGTTTCCTTAAGAATGATGCTCTTAAAAAATGGGAGCTACTGGAACAGAGTCTCTGAGCTCTCATGAGGGAGAATGTAAGAGGTTTGTAACTTGAGATTGTTCAAGAGGACTTTCTCTCCTGCCAGAGCACATGAAAGACTTGTGTTATTCTGATTCTCTGATACTCACCTTCACCCACTGTATTATTGAAGGGCAAAATCAATAATCACATTCTTTATATACTTTGGGGGTTGGAACTAGATGATCTTAAGATCCTTTCCAACCCTATTCTATATAATTGACTGGAGTTATGGGGTTGAAAATTGCTTTTCTGACCGGCACGTTTTGTGTGCGTCCCTCTCCTTTTTCTCCAGTACGCTTGTGATGTTGAAGCTGAGGTGGTGGGGAAACCAGCAAAGCCATTTTTTGAGTCAGCCTTAGCAGCAATGGGAGTTCCACCACAGCAGGTGAGTTTCTGATGCTCTGACCCCTGGCTGTGCCATACAGGTTTGCTCACTGATGCGTTTTCTCTGGTTTGCTGGCTGTCACGTAAAGTTATCAAAGAGGTTGAATGGAATGTGGCCAGTGCGTTACACACGGTGTGGAGAATATTAATACACGGGATCTCCCTATGAACGACTCCAAAAAACATAAGGAAGAGAGAACTGATTGAAAAAATGCTTCAGAGGTAAAAAAAGCCAAATATGTTTGCCCATTCTGTTAGATAATGTGAAGTAGACGAAAGGGAACTGGCAGCCAAGAGGGTAGATGCTAGCAGGCTGCATTTCTTCTGCCCTGTTTGTGCTTCCTACCATCCTCAAAGGCATGCCATGAGTTTCTCTGCTTGCTTTGGGGGTTCTCATTGCTTGCCTGCTGTTTTCCTTTACATTCCCTCTGTCTGTCTCTCTTTGCTCTGGCTTGTGCTCTGCATCCCTCTACCCAGTTTTGAGTCTTGTATCCGTTCTCTGCTGTGGCTTCTCCTACTTGTACTCATGTTGCACTGTCTAACTCACCTTCCTCCCAAACCTTATAGTTCAAAAGAACACACACTTCTGTTGTGACATTCCTATATTTGGAGACTAAAGAAAGCAATACAGAAGAGTGAAAGTTAGTTTTCCCAAGGAATTATGGAAGATGTTGATGAGAGCTGCTGCTATACGTGGCATTCCGCTTGGCAACTAGAGGCTGCGGTGTGGTGGATTTGCAGCCAAAATATTGCTTGTTCCCTTTGGTGTCACACTGACTACTTAAAAGAGAAAGGTAGAAGTGAAATGCTTTCTAATTTAGGTGAGTGGGAAGCACTGACTGACTCAAAACCTCCTGCTATGTTGATGAATTCATCCAGTGTGTGATGCTCCCTGCTTGCTTAGTACAGACCATTTTCCCCCCGTCCCTGTAGCTGTGGCCAGATCTTCCTTATTGATTTGTTGTTATGTCACACAGGACATCAGGATGAGTATGAGATGACTCCCAGGCAGCAATGAATTACAGCATAATAATTCCACCAGGGGGTTTTGGTGACATTATAAACAACCAGAGTGAAGTTTGGGTGGCTTCTAGGTCCCTAGAGCCCAGAGATGAAATTATGGCCCCGTAATTCAGTATGTGCTTGGGTTTTACTTTATTATAGAGAGGGAAGATGGAAAAGACCTGGTAGGCCATATAATCCATCTCCTTCTTTGTGCAGGAGTGTTCCCTGCTCCAGGTTATTAATGTTTTGTCCAGTTTGCAGTGAGCCAGACAGCTGGGCTTCTGTCAGGGCCTTAGGGACAGTGCTCACAGCAGAGTAGGTCTTATGGGCCCTTTTAAACTGCATTTCCTCATTTCTACTTTTGCTCCAGGTAACAACCACAATAACTGCTTGGCATCCTGGATATCTTCTCCCTCTGATTATCTCCAGACTTGTTACCATTACAATAGTTGTCTCTTACTAAACCGTGTGTTTAGCTCTCAAGGCTTCCCTTGGGATTCGGTCCCTCTGCACCCTGACCCCCTGCAGTGATCCCTTGTTTGTCAGTATCTTCCCAGTAACAAGAGAGCTCAGACTGGACATAATATCCCAGGTACAGCCACGGCAGCTATTCAATCCATTCATCCAACCAACAAACCAAGGAGTCCATTTCAGACACAGAGTGACATTTGGATAAGTAGTAGATGGAAAAAAGAGCACAGGGAAAAAAGCCCCACGGAGCTCAGCCCTTGGCTGCTCTTTGTGTAAATCGGATGCACGAAGGGTCATGTTTCCTTCCTGCTTGTACCAGAAATGAGTAGTACACACAAGTAGGAAGGAAGCTGTGGCTGCCCCATCCCTGGCAGTGTTCAAGGCCAGGTTGGACACAGGGGCTTGGAGCAAGCTGCTCTAGTGGAAGGTGTCCCTGCCCGTGGCAGGGGTTGGAACTGATGAGCTTTAAGGTCCTTTCCAACCCAAACCAGCATGGGACTCTGTTATTTTTGAGCTCTCTGTCCTTGTGACCCTGCATAGCAGCATTCCTTGCCCTTTTCCATAGGCAGGATGGTGCTGTTGTCCTCAGACACCGCTATGCCAGGACCGTGTCAGCACATGGCACCAAGGGAGGGCATCATTACAGGGATGTGACAGGGCACCACAACTCTTGTCTCAGAAACTTTGCCCCAGGAAACAGATTTGATTGAATGCATCAAAACTGGCAAAACCAGCCCCATAGGGTGAGCTTCACTGAGTGGTTCCCATCAACTGCAGGAGGATTTGGTTTGGGTACATAAAAGCAGTAAAAGTCCCCAGCAGAGACTATTTATTCGTTGTCTGCTGTTTGCCATAGTGCTAATGGTGACTAACTTTGTATTTTGACAGAGATTTTTCTTTTCCTATCTAGTTTCTAGTGTTAAATGCCATCAGTTTGTTGTAGTAATACAGCTAGTCTGTAGGTGTGATATTTTGTATTCAGAGAGATTGGAGATGGAGGGGGTGTGTGCCTAACCAGAAGCAGCACAGCAGACACCACTGCCTGATGGCACCAGTCACTCCATGCTTTGCCTAAGTAAAAAACAGGAGTTAAAACCTGCATCAGGATGCACATGCGTAGGAGGAGCAAATTACAGCAAACTACCTTAATTCTAACACCTTTTCCTAACTTTGAGTGCTTGATCTTGCAACCTTAGGGTTCTTTGAGAAGCATTTGCAGGTTGTTTTAGTTTGTCATACATAATAATAGAAACTCAGTATATTCAGTTCAGTAAGTTCTTTAGTAATGCACTGCAATAGATTTTAATCTGTCTCCTGAAGGAGCTCTTTACTCCTCTGCATTTGTAATGATATGAAAAGGACTGATTTTACTTGCCTTTGCTTTCAGAAAATGCTTGCCAATGATTTATTCCACTGGTGGAATGCATTTAATCCATCATTAAACCATTTGAGGTGGGCTGTACTTTTGAAAACATATTACAGTTTTCATTCACCTGCCTTTTAATGAAGCTGTAATTCCAGACAGTGGCAAATCTTACATTTCTCAACCTGCTTCAATCAATAAAGTTATCACCAGTCATTTCCCTTGATAACTGCTTCTTTCCAAGGCCCTGACTTTGCCTTCTGCTGCTGAGATGTTTTCAACCTGCACTTAGAATAGAAGGAAGTCCCCAAAGTCCAATTTTCATTTTAACCTTTCCTCAATGGCCTAGAAATAACAGATTGACAGTATTACTTTAATAGATTGGAAATTTAAACCTCTTAGAGGTAACCAGACCTATCTCCTGCTTTGGTAGTATGACAAAGAATAACATGTCTTAAAGGTTACTGAAATGCCTAATTCATATGTTTTAAGGCAGCTGTAACAGTGGATGATTTTTACAGCTTTATAATAAAACCTAAATAATGTTGAGGTTCTGGTAGTTTTATATAATCATAAAAAGTTCTCTCTGTAGCAAATGGTCCTGGTTTAATGGGAGTTATGGCAGGTCATGCTGGAGTGCATAAACTACACATAGTTAAGCAATTCCCATTCCTGCCACCTGCAGGTCTCGCATGGGAGTTAGTGGGGCGTGAGAGCAGAGGGAGGTCACCCCGAGAGGGGCATCAGCATCCCCTCTTTGTTCCCTGGCTACCACAAGGGAAGCTTTTCCATCCCCAGAACAAGTGGGAAGTGGCCAAGGGAAGTTTTAAGTTTGGAGTCCTGCTGAAAGCACATTGAAACCCATCTGGTCTTGCAGCCTGTGGAAACCTGCCCTGGAGGGTTAATGTATTTCTGTGTTTTACCTGCCCTGTTGTACGTTTTCTCCTATCACAGGCACCAAGCCTTTGCATGTTTGATGTAGTTCCAAGGCAGAAACATAATTAACAGTAATACAGGATCCTGAAGCCTCGGAGATTACCAGTTGGACCAGGAACAGGGAGAAAAGAGAATGCATTGTACTTCTTGTAAAGGGATTTAATACATTAATGAAGATTTTGTGTATAAACTTTATTTCCTTATGCCCCTGACACATTTAGCTTAAGGTTATTAAGTCTCTAGCAAGAATCTGTTCAGGTATGAATACGTTTGACTCCAGAAGCATTCCCTGTGTTGAATAGTCTGTTAAAGTTGGCACACTTCTTTCTGTGCATCTCTGCATCCTCTGTAGCCTTCAGCATCCTAAGTACCAGGATCCTGTGCATTTCAGCATCCTAAGTACCTAAGGAGCTTGTGCTAGTAAACATGGAGTCTGGCTGGGGAATACAGGGTGTGTTTATCTTTCTACCTCATTCTTTTCCTTACTCCACGATTCCTTTTCTGATCACTCATTTTTCTGTGGTTTTAGTGAATACCAGACCTCTTGTTTGCACACAAAAAATACCCCAAGGTTCCCATTCACCACCCTAAAGCATCTCTGAAACTTTATTAGCGTTGGCTACTTCTGTGCATGAGAGGAGTCAGTCCCCACCTTCACTCAGCTCTGGGTCTGTGGCCCAGACCACACCAGGCAGATTGCTGACACTGATGGTGATCTCTGTGCCACAGATGTTTGTCCAGGGGGGATTATATTGTGCCTTCCTCCCCCCAAATTCTTGGAGGTCATGTTCATCTCCTCCATTAGCACTGTCAGTCAGAGTTGAGGTTGATGGGGAGTCTTCGAGAGCGGTGGCCTCACTCAGCTTTGGCACACGTGTGCTTTCTTTACTACATGTGTACAACCACACACAACACCCCTCACCAGATATAGGGGCTAGCAAGGTATAAATTACACTCATCTTAATTCTTTGATGATTTGCCTTAAACCAGAGAGAATGTCTCACTTAATTTTTGGCCTTTTTTAGTCAAGTTTTAGCTGATCTAAAAGAAGGACCTTCCATGGACTAACTGATCAGCTTAATGGTGTGATCCCTGTAAAAAACATGAAGACAAGCAGGCATCTTTCAATTCCTGCTCTCAGTGGCTATGTGACCTTTCAGTTTTATCTCTTTCTCTCTCCTCTTACCATATTGCAGTCGGAGGGGAAGTTAAACCCAGGTTTGACAGGTAGGGTTTTTTCATTTCCCTCGGCAGCACACCTTTTGACCCCTATCTTCTTGCCAATGATTTTTTAAATCCTAAATGATTTGGGAATAATTGCTCCTCCTTTAGTGATTATTGCCCTTCACCGATAGTAAATCTGTGAAATCCCTGGGGGCTGGAGTACAGGTTTGTATGCGGATGCCACAAGCTGGCCTGGACAAGCATCGCTGCTCATCGCTGCTCACAGAGCTGCCAGGACTCTTGCAGGAAAACTTGCCCAGACAGGGGAAATACAGCCCCAGGGAACAAGGGAGAGCTGCTCTGCCCCGCTCTGCCCTTCCCTGTTTCCAGAGGAAATCCAGTTTTAGGGTATTGAGAACCCAGGAATGAAGTTGGCTTTGCTGCAGGAATCTCATCCTGAACATCTGGGTTCAGGCTGAGGAAGGGCAGAGAGCAGCTCTGCTTCTGGGTGCTCTTCCCTCTCCTCTCTGGGGAGGTGTTAGAAGGAACTGTATAAGAAGAAGGGATTCTAAACTATTAAATCCAGGCATTGAGAATGATTGTGTATCTCAAAGCATCTTGAAGGGGAGTTGCAATGGGAATTGGAATCCCAGTGCCTAGGAGCAGTGTTGCCGGGTTCTTTGCAGCTCTGCAGGTAACAGTGGGACTGTTCTGTTTTCCTCATCTGTATATGCATGCTTTATTTACTGATTACTTAAAATGAACCCATCATAGAATCCTGGAATGATTTGATTTGGAAGGGACCTTAAAGCTCATCCAGTTCCAGCCCCCTGCCATAAGCAGGGATACCTTCCACTAGAGCAGCTTGCTCCAAGCCCCATCCAACCTGGCCTGACAAGACGTGCTTCTTCTGGGCAGAATGGAGCAAGGGTGGGCTTGTGTAAACTGTTTCCAAATAGACTACTTCAGCGTGGTACTGGACAAATGAGCCTTGACTTGAGAGGGCATCCTCTTAACATCCCATCACCTGAGGGATGATCATCATCCCTCACATGAGCAGTATTACAGAACGACATAGAAGATAGACTGGGCTGCTACCTATTATGTTTAATCTTGCACATTGCACCTGATGTGTTACTCAAAAGAAGAATTAGTCGTTATCAGCTGAAGCTGTTCCAGATGCACTTGCTCATAGCTCATGGTTTATAAATGCTTTCAGAAAATCTTCCGTTCAGCTGCAGCATTTCCTTTATGTGCCGTGTAATACGGGGGAGAAGATTATGGTGTAATTAGATGATTAATAAAAATAGCTCTGGAACTTAAGTGGTTTTACACTTGTTCAGTAGGTTTGATTTAGTACTGCCCAGCAGACTGCTTGCAGAGTGGGAACTGAAGTGTAGGGAACACAGAAGATGAGCTGGTTCTTGTATGGTTGCCTTCTATGTAAAAGGGAGTGTAAAAAAAGAGGACCTTAAAGCTCCTCCAGTTCCAACCCCTGCCACGAGCAGGGACACCTTCCACTAGAGCAGCTTGCTCCAAGCCCCTATGTCCAACCTGGCCTTGAACACTGCCAGGGATGGGGCAGCCACAGCTTCTCTGGGCACCCTGTGCCAGCGCCTCAGCACCCTCCCAGGGAAGAGCTTCTGCCTAAGAGCTCATCTCAGTCTCCCCTCTGGCAGGTTAAAGCCATTCCCCTTGGCCTGTCCCTACAGGCCCTTGTCCCAAAGCCCCTCTCCAGGTTTCCTGCAGCCCCTTTAGGCACTGGGAGCTGCTGTAAGGTGTCCCCAGAGCCTTCTCTTCTTCAGGCTGAACAAGCTCAGCCCTCTCAGCAGGGATGAAACTAGATTGTCTTTAGTGTCCCTTCCAACCCAGACCATTCTATGATTCTATAATCATCCTGTTACATCATGCAAAACTGAACAAATGAGATTTTACAGTGATTTCCGAATTGCTGCATCAACCTGAGAATGGGTTGGGATCAAGCTCAGCAACTTACACATCTCGCTGGTCACAATCTGAAGCTTATAAGTGGCTTTTAGAATACCAATTTTAGGAATTGTTTAAAAAGATAAGCTTAATTTAAACCACTTGGAGCATGACATAAGTGGGCCGTTAGGACCAGCATAGGCCTAACTTCCTAAAATTCACCATTCCCTTTGACCTGCGTGCCAGATCGCTTTGATTTATGTTCCTGATTACACATCACACGGCTCTGTGCTGCGCTAGTACATTGCTGGAGGAGCTATAGCATGAATTAAATTCAAGGTAGGGTGACTTTTAATCAATACGATGACAATATTATCTTGTTTAATTTGTCTGATGGCAGTATTAAACATCAAATCAAGCTGTTTGTTATGTCAGGGGAGGGTGACGTATGGCAGAAATAAACCTCGCTTGATGCCACTTGTTCTGTATGTCATTGCTTTGACAGGCCATCATGATCGGAGATGATATTGTGAACGATGTAGGAGGTGCCCAGCAGTGCGGGATGAGAGCCGTGCAAGTGCGGACAGGGAAGTACAGGTCAGTGCGCATCCTACACCCTGCGCTCCGTGGGGGAGTCATGGAAAGGGGGGGAAGAACCGCAGGTAATGGTTGTGCCAAATCCCACTGTGCTCTGATTGCCTTACAACACATTCCTTTCTGAGAGAAAACGAATTCCACCCTGGAACGTGGTACTTGTTCAAAGGGAGTGCACAAAATCCCATGCCTTTCCCCCAGCCTTTCCTGTTGGTGGCACAGGTTTGCAGTCAACGTACACTTGCATTTGTTGTCTGAACAGACAGCTGCTTGGGCAGCAGTTAGGCTTGGGCGGGTGACAGCATTCTCAGTTGCAAAACACAGCTTAGGGAAACCCTGTATGCACAAAAGTGGCAGGAAGAGGAAGACACGTTGTCTTTCAGCTTCTAATAAGTGTTTGCTGTTAAATTGCTGCTATGATTTCCCCATCGCGGGGCACAGAACTGGAGTGTTTCTTGGGGCTTGCTGCTTTCTTTTCCTGCAGCTGAAGGTGTTGCTCACTTGCTGTAAGACGTGTCTGAAACTTGTAGCAGGGTTAAGATCGTAACGTTTGACTGTCGACTCAGTGCTCTCTCTGGGTTATCGCTCACTGCCTTATGAAGGACTCCGTATGTCAGTTATCTCCTCCAGACAGGTATTCAGCACTGAGATGTCTGAAATGCGTGAGCTGCTTCTCCACTTCTCATCTAATCAGAGTGCAGGCTTCATCTCTTTCAAATGACCCTTCAAACCCTTCTCCATGCAGTTGTCTCCATCATTCTGTGCTTTCATTGACCCAAGAGCTACCTCCCTGCAGCTGCTGATGGGAGACCTGACAGGGCACGGCCCAGGGTTGACTGGCGGAAAATGAAGCCATGATCTCATGCTCAGGCCAGGTTTGTTTGAGGTCATCTCAAGGTGACTCTCCAAACGCAATGAAACATTGGTCCCTATGTTTAGTGTCTGGATTCCATAACACTCCAAATCTCCTCTTAACCATCATCTCCTCTTAACCATAACCGGGGCCTTTTTGAGGTAGGTTCAGCAGCACCATCTGTCAGTTGGTAGGTTTGCAAATACTGAGAATGTAAAAGAAGGATGCTCTTTTTGGGAGGGATGCAGCACGTGAGAATGGTGCTTGCCATGGGCTAGCTGAAAAGTTACTGCGTTAGTTTTCGAGTAATCTGTTTCTCAGGTTTCCTTCTAGTTTGTGTGAGGTGATGAAATAATACCCAGTGCCTTAAATCTGATGGACCAGTAAGTGATGATTTCTGAGGAAAAAAGACACACAAGTGTATTGTATTTTGTGTATCTGTAAGGTAGCGCATCTCAAAATCAGTTTTCTACAAGAATAAAGCTCCAAAAATCCACAAGATTAAAAAATTAAGTATAGAGTTTGTGCTGTTGGGATTATTTGTCTATAATCTGTGTAATGCCATTAATTTCCTAAAGGAGAAAAGAAGGATTCAACAGTTGATTCTATTCTGATATTAAGGGGATCACTCAATGAATCTACATCTTGATGTCACTCAGATACAGGTGTCAGTGAAGGAGGTATCTCTGCACATAGAGGTAAATTAGACCTTTGTGCTAAACAAATATCTCCTGTGATGTATTTTGCCCACCACAATATGCCACAGGTGATTCTGCATCCAAACTGTTCAGGCAACTGACACAAACTGTATATACACACACATACACATAAATATGTATAATCATCTGCTGGAAAAACATATCTTGTATCAAGCTTGAGTCATGGTTTCACAGCTGAAAAGGAATCATCAGCTGTTCTAGATGGGGAATAGAGATTGTTTTGTGCTGCTGTGTTTCTTGTCTTAATGTGTGGTTGCTGTCACCTGAAATAGTGTTCTGTTGTATACAGAGGAGTGTCTCTCTAAAAGTGGTGCCAGACCTGTTGTTAGCAACTGGGAGTAAAATGAAATAGCTCTTGTTTGTGAAGAGAGGTCAGGGATGTATGTCTTTATCGGAATGACTGATTTAGCACTCATGGAAAATCAAAATACACAGTGCATATTGAAAAAGGGGGGAGAAAAACAAAAGAATGAAAGCTGATGGGCATCTTACATTAAAAATAACAGAAAATATTTTTATTTTATGGCTGGCTTAGTTTAAATTCTGCTATATAACATCATGCACAGGTCGTCTCTTGCTTGTGTGGTAATCCTGTCAGAGAGCTGTGTGCTACATCCAAGTACCTCTGGATGGCACCGTTAGTACGGTATTAGCCACAGCTTCGGGACCTCCCCAGTGTCTGAAGCTGGTTTTGCATAGATGTAAAGCACAAAGACCTTGGGATTTGTATCTGCTGAGTGCTGGTGGGGTGGGATTTCAGTTGTGAGAGTCTTGTGGCTATGGACAGGGGTGATCACCCCGGTTGAGCTGTCTCTGTGTTTCTGCTTTGTTCCCAATCCCACCGCAGTGGTGGTGCCTCACTTCAGCAAAACAGAAGCAGAGCTGGTCCGAGAATAAAGTAAAAGATAACAGAGGAACCATCCCAAGGCATTGCTGCAGGTGCATTTACCACTGGGTATGTGAAAATGACATCATTTGACCAAGTTATCCCAGTGAAGGCATTTTGGATGTCGTTCTGTAGGTACAAGGGATCCCGTTGTACCCCTCCAGCCTCACCCAGACGCTGTCCCTGACTGGCCGATGCTGTCACCTCTGGTGCATACATGTGCATTGGGGCAGCTCTCCTTATTTTAGGCATTGGTGCAGTTCACATCGACATCTTTGAGGTCTGGGTTTGTCAATGCAGGGTGGAGGATGTTGGCTTTGCAGGTGGGTCGAGGTCCAGAGGAGAAGCAGAAGGGGTGCATGGAGAGCTGGCATAGCCCCGTGCTGCCTCCCTCCATGGGCTCTCCCCTCCTGGCCTCTGCAGGGTCACTTTCTGTGTTGGCTGCTCCGAGGGTGAGATGCAAAGTGAGGATTAAGCTGCTGCAGAAACATTTGGGTTTACATCACCTTGCATGGAGGTCCTGAAAATCAGTTCCTTTGTCCTGATTCTTTTGATCTTTAACGAAATGTGTGGAGATGGTTTCTTTTAGTGTGACAGACTTCACTCCTGCGTCCATACTTATCTTCTCCTCGAATGCACTTAATCTTCCAGCAGGACTTAAGAGTTGAGCTCTTTCTCTGTAGCCAAACCAGACATAGCACAGATTAGTCCATGAAAATATAGAATCCCACACTGGTTTGGGCCGGAAGGGACCTTAAAGCTCACCTAGTTCCACCCCGTGCCATGGGCAGGGACACCTTCCACTAGAGCAGGTTGACCTTTCTGAGGTATAAAATCCAAATGCAGAGGGTCAGTCAGAGGGTCTGCAGGTTTGTCCACCCTCAGCTTGTCCCATCTACAGACCAGGTCATTGCTGCAGACTCTTGCGTGCCGAGAGAAGAAGCTGGTGTTGGGTGGTTCAGCGTTGGGAAATCTGATGCTAATTCCAGAGCTTCTGTGCACACCTGCATGGAGGCCCTTCACAGCAACATCTTTCCCATCTAGAGAAGAACATGTGCAGGGTATGTGCTAATTCCGCTTGCAGCTAATTGGCCTTGACATCAGACCAAACATTTCCACCCTAACTATTGATTCTGCAGTGCTGCGGAATATCCTCGTTCCTCTTTGTAGCATGCAAGTTAGAGCAGAGAAAAATGACTTTGAGGCTCTTCCAACTGTCTCCCTGCAACACTGGAAACAGTTTTAGGTGCATCAGTGCTTCCTGTTGCAGGTGGTTCTTGGCAGGGTGAAGGAGTTACTTACCCTTCTCCTTGTTGTCATTTACAGGTCGTGATGTAAGTAAAGACCTTTCCATCTCTGGTGTGTGGCAGGAGTCAGGAATGCTCACGGCACTGGTACTCACTGCCCCTGCTCTCCTGTGGGTTCTGAAATGGTTCCAGAGTCTGGCAATAGGGGTTCATCCCCCCTCTGTGCCCACATGAGGTTTTCGTTGTTTGACTGGAGATTTATCTCATGGCCATGGCTGATGTTGCCGCATCCCTGTGCAGCCTCGCTAAGGACGTAAAGGATGCGCCAGGGATGGAGGATAAAAGGATCAAGGTGCATGAGAGCTGTCATCTCTCTCCTGCTCTGCCACTGAGGGAACTGGGTCAAGTTACTTCATGTTGCTGTTCTTCAGTTTCCCCACTTCATAATTATCCTCGGAGAATAATTATCCTGGCTTTCTTACTAAAGTGGCTTCTGATGTGCTCCTCTTATCTGATGGAAGAAAACATAACAGAATTTGCACAGATTTATGGGTAGTTGTCTTGCCAGAAATAAAAATCCAGACACAGTCGAGTTGTGACAGAGGAAAAAATCCTTTAGGCTGCCATCACCGACTGATAAAGGATGAGACAGCCAGGGTGGGTTGTGGTAATAACCTCCTAAATGAAGTTATAAAGTTATCCTCCAAGTCTTTCCACTCATAGATAAGTTCACAGTTGTCCCTGTGTTAGTCAATGGAAGCTCATGATACCTTCTGCAAAGAAAGAGTCACAGCTTAGTGCTCTGCCCTGCTGTTCTTGCTCGCTGCATTGCCAACCAGTTTGCTGGTTTGTTCACATCTGCCTGATGGAGCCTACAAGCTGTGTGTAATGGGAATGAACAGGCGGAGGCGCTCCCTGTGTGCTGAAAGAGAACCAGGGGCATTCCGATGGCCTCACAGTCCTGGTAATTACGCCTGTTTCAAGTATGAAATGGAAAGGCTTCCAACCTGTATTTGCACCATAAAAAGTTGCATTGTAATTCCTGTTAACCTCTTAAGCAATGTTTATTCAAGCCTAGTGCCAGCGGGTTGGTTTTCATCTTAGCAGGGTAGCTGATTGCAGTCAATCCTGAGGCGTAGTCTTAACCACCATTTATTGCACATTCACATCAGTTTGCTCTGTCCACATGAGGATCTTCACATGTGTTTATCAGTTTCTGGACCATGGTTTGGTTGCCATAATCTCTGAGTCAGCTCTGAAGAGGAAGTTGAGAGTAAATGCTGCAGTCCCTCAGCACA